ACAAAGAAAAAGGCATCAATGGCGATAGTGCAGATGATGGTGAAATTAAGATTATTGGTCGTTTGAACAGGCACGTAGATAAGAGTTTCCGGGGCTATGTTTCCTCTAAAAAAGGGACAACTAAGAGCCGAAAAGCCAGCTTGCATATTGTCATGTGAATCCCTTTCAGAGCCCGGCGTTGTTTCTGTGTGAAATAAATCATTCAATACGTTTTCAATTAGCTTACGATTGACGTCATTTGTGATAATTTGAAAACTAGCCTATTGTCACTGGATGATCGATGCAATTCCTACAAATTTTGTCGGCGATAGCGAGTTATTATGAAGAGTTAACCGGGAGCTTAAAGTCTTTCAAAAACTGACAAATATTTTGAATGAATTATAACACGTGAAGAATTAGAGGACATCTAATCAACAACTTTAACTCCTTACTCAAGTTAGAAAAGGAGGACTAGGGAGAGAAACGCCAAAAATCAGGGAGGAGGAAGGGGAAAATAAAAAATAAAAAGAGGAAAATAAAAATTATAATTCTGTTCGGGGGGGATAAAGCAGGGGATAAAGCACGGACTAGACCGTCTCGGTGCATGGGCTGGATAAGTAAAACATGTATTGGTAAGACATGGACAAGTAACGTATCATTGTTACTAACTTATATTTTTCTTTCCTTGCTTGCAAGTGATAACTATTCAGAACCTATGAAATAAGCTAACAGTCACAATCCATGTTTTACTAATCAAATCAAGTCAGTCAAATCCAGTCATATTTTTATCGTATGCCCTTGCCTGTGGTTGTCAGCCTATCGAGGTTACCCGCAACGCGACTTGTGGCTGGTACTTATTTACACAAATAGGTGAAAATTGACAATGGAGGCAATTAGTGTCTAATGACAGTAATAAAGCAATATGGTGATGCTACTCTAACGCGCCGCTATTTACATTTTAAGTCCCAGGATTGTGCGAAGAACGACATCACTGACCTCGCCTCAGTGGTCACCTTTGAAACTGTTTGGAGGTTTATACTTGTTAATTGCCATTATTCCCAAAAGTATGATCTTAAGCTGTAGAAGAGGCTGCTCTTCAACATTGAAATATTTGCCACTGGTAAATATTGCAGTGCTTCTGTCAAAACCCAAACAATATTCCATGACGCAAAACCCAAAAGTGTAAACCTTGAAGTGATCAAAAATTACTAGATATTATTTTTTTTAATTTGACTAAGCTAAAACCTTCCTCCAAGTCAACGTTTCCTTAAACCAAAAATCTTCGCCTTTTTAAACGAATAAAAAAGGAATATCATGAAGATTAGGTCACACGGAATATAACCTTTGTAAATAATTAAAATCAACACATTTTTAGCCAATAGTGTTTTTAAGATGACAGGAAGAGCGCCCACTGCTCTTATGTTGAATGGCGTATCTCTTGTCGGCTTTCCTTATCCCAGTTGGGTTGCCTATGAAATGTAAAATCTAGCAAAATTAGACTACTGGCCATTCTTGGCGATCGAATCGATTTAGACAAATACTGTAAACATGAAGAAGAGAATTTACCTTCTTTTCATTTTGTGTGTCACATCACCGACTACGATTTCAGGTAAGTCTAGTATACATTTCTGTTTACTAGTTTCTATATACAGTGTAGTTCGATTAAAAATAAATGTATATATTAAATTCATATTTCCTCAAGTTTTCTTAAAAGGCAAAGTTCCGCTGCTATCTAAAAGGAATCTCTTCCTAGCGATCGCTTACTTCACAGTGATTGCTTTCTTGTCATGAAATCGGAAAACGACGCATCACAAAACCCGCTCGAAGGCGATGAAATAGTGATTCAGCTGCGGTCAGGCTCAACAATTTTGCTTTGACGACACCTCAACACATCAGTGGCTTAAATGTTCGTACATCGCAGTTCATCGTTAGAAGAATAAATGTCGTGCCAAAAACTAATAGGATTTTTAATTTTATGATCAAGCGGCGGGCGGGCCAAAACCTGCTCTTTTTGACACTGTCTCAATAACTTCTGTGTGCTCTTCTAAGAACTTAACTGGTGGAAGTCAATGACCATTGATTATCAAGCCTTCGCTTTTACGCTTCGGTGAAAAAACACTAGATTTTCGCAGCAATAAATTTAAAATACACCGCCTGTAATATTTAGATCAGTGTCCTTTGGAAGTGTTCTGACAGTTGTCACAACAGACCCTTTCCTTTAAGTTGCCAAGTTTAAAAGTGATTTGTTGAAAACAACAACAATATAGCCCTCTAAAGTCGCGCAATTTTATAGTTTGCAAGGTGGAGGGCAATTCATGTCCCCCACCACTACTAACGTATATACATGTAAAATTTCGCAACCTTGTGAAGCGATATCCTCGCCCGCTTTGGACGTATCACGTTAAACTTTAGGGTGGGTACTTTCCATTTGTCAAATCAAACAGTCAAAAATCAGTGGAATTGTTAAGAGAAAATGGAACAACATTGTTCGATTGAAACAAAGTTTCCAATCGAATAGAAGCGATCCATTTGGGTTTCGATTGAAATTTTGATGACTGCTAAGCAAAGTAGGACTGGAAACGAGAATTGTTGGAAATTGAACGGCAAGTTTCGGTCTGACCGGACCGACCGGTCAAAGAGGACCACCTCTGGAGGTGGACCGCAGTGAAAGTGTCTATTACTGATGGAAAGGCCGTGTCATTTATGAGTTAACTTTTTAATATGCCATCCTTATCGCCCCTGACAAGACTAAACCTTGGGAAGTTTTCTCTTGTCTGTTACTCAAAAGGTCAGTATTTGTGAAAATGGTAAACTTGATCAGCGCGACGAAGTTTCATCGACACTCAAATGAATGATTTGGACAATTTGGACAAGTGCAATATTCACATATTAAATAACTTCTCAACATTCTTACAGCAGTTGTAGATCTTGTAATAGGAAATTAATTAGTTTCTGTTAACGTTAATTTCCGTGCCATTAATTAGGTCAGTGGAGACTTAATTTTCCCCAACATAATTTTAATTACTTGTCCTTGATTTGTCCTTATGCTCCAGACTTTCCTAGCACCTAGGATTTTTTCTCTTAATCTCGAAATTTAGGCAAAGTACCGCAAACATTTTTTTTGCACCTCAGATCATACGCTTACTTTTTTTTGTTTATATATTGGGAAGAAATTTTTCAATCAATTCGTGTGAATTTAAGTTGCGCTTTAAATGGACGTGTCTTGTAGCCTCGCATGACTGAGGGTGGTAAACGAGCGATCAAAAATTCCTTGACCTTTGTTCCAAGCAGGAGCTAATTACTGTTCCAATTAAGTCAATAATACTGTATTTGAAACAAAAATCCGGAGATAAAACGGCCTTTTATAGGTCTCACGGCCATGTTTTACACTTGGCATAACCCCCAATGTGAACAGCTTCTCTACAAACTTTGAAATGTGCTTTTTTGCACCCAAAATAGAAGTATCGTCCTTACTAACGTCCTACCTCTCCGTCGTTTTCTGGCTAAAATAATGGAACGATATTTCTGTAACAACAAGCAAAATTCATTGAAAAATTGCCTTTTATTTTTAAAAGCTGATGAAGTCGAAACGAAAGCAGACAACATGGCAGAAGCAATTGCACAACAAAACAAAAAAGTTGAAGAGGAAAGCAAAGCCATGGAGAAAGCCATTGACGAGAAAGGGAAACAAGTAGATACTAAAGAACAGGAAGATAAATTTGAAAAAGCTAGCGAAAAGGTTGATGCCATGGGGAACGCCGCTGACAAGAAATTTGAACAGAAAGGTAACGTTTTAGTGAGCAAATAGAGCTACATTGCGCGATATTTCAAGTTTTCTTTTAAAGACCTTTTTATCTTTATTGTTACAGTATCTCGGTTCTTTCTGATCTTAAATCCCTTCAAGGGAGAACATTTTCTTGCCGATAAATTTACAATATGGACTGCGTCCTACCACAAGAGAAGATCTTGAAAGAAAAAAAATGTCGTCTTTTTGAGGGGCAGAAGAATAGGGATTTCTCGTAGACGAAAACAGAGTATTGTATGATATATCAATTCTCCTGTAAGGGACCACCCTTGGTACACGATAAAGTAGTCGCTTATGGGAGGTAGTCGTCAACGGTAAAAATCAAGAAAATAAGCTGAAACTGAGATGATTAACGCGATTGCGTAAAGGTATTACCTAGCAAGCTAAAAAAATAAGCAAACAGACAAGGGGAACAGGTAGTTTTGTTTTCCCGCGAGTCCTGGTACTGCTTCCCGTATGTTTTTCTTTGATTCAAGGTCGGAATGCTTATACATGTTCGTGTTGTAAAAACAACTGTTAGCAGGGTACTGGCAGATAATAAACAGGCTATCAAAGGTAATGAAAAGGGGAGTTTGAGCGACACAATTCAAGAAAGGCTGCGATTGTTTCACATTAAAATATATATTCGAAAGTTAAAGGGTCTGAAGACAATGAGTATTAATTAATGTGTCTTAATTAAATACTTTTCGGGCATTGACTGTTCGAACCCCTTATCCTTCCACTTGCCATCCAGTCTTCATCATAGCCGATAAATATTGCAGTCCTCACTAAAGGATCGCATCTTCGTTTTAGCCAGTTTAGTTGACAAGCTTGGTAATGAGGGAAGCGATGCCATCGAAAACCAAGCAAAGAAAGTAGAAACTCTGTCTAATCAAGCAGATTTGGCTGAGGACAATGCAAGTAAACTGGTAGATAAAATAGGTAAGTCAATTATCATTTTCACCGTATTTATTCGATTAATCGCCGCAGTGTTTATTATTCTGAAGCGACATTTATTCAAGGGCGGTGTTTGTAAGAGGGCGACTTTTTTTTTTAAATCCCATTTCGTAAATCATTAACAACAATTTCGATAAAAAAATTGCAAAACAGAAAGATGTTTTTTCTATAGAATTGTAATTGTCTGGATGGTGTAGATTACCAAGTTGTTCCGAGGTTTTTCCATAATCTGATACCATAGTACTCTTTTGATCTTTAAAGTTGTTTAATGCCACATTGACTTCATCTTGTTCTTGTTATTATGCACTTTTTGCTTAAAGATAAATCCTATAAACAAAATGCAAAGCTATTTCCAAACACAAGCTCCTGTGGACCATATTGTAACCAACATTCCAGTGGTACCCCCCTTTCTGTACAAAAGAAACTATTGTGGAATCGTCAAGACGCTTTAGCGTCGCAGGGGACATTGGCTGACATTGATTGGCGCTACATGCCTCCATAAATGAGTCCCCGTTTATATGAGGAAAACCTGTCCCGTGTCGAAAGATCACCCTCTCAGCCGAGATATGAGATATGAGAAAAAAGTTGACCCCTTTTCCCGAGCCAAAAGCACTTCGGCAAGTTCCGACTGCCTCACAGGTTGACCCGGAGAAAATATGATGAGAAACGTTGGCCCGGCTAGGAGAGTGACCCTACCATCAAAATAAAAGGGGCTGGCAAGGTGGGTCACCCTTCTAGCGGAGCCGACTTTTTGTTTCCAATGTAAACAGCTCGCCAAGTTTTGTTACCTCGGCTAGGTGGGTGATCCCTCTACCAGTGACAACGCGTCTCCATAGAGATGAGATCAAAGGCTGTATGAAACTGCAACCTAAGAGTATTATGGTACTTAAGGAAACGTCTATCACTGAGAGTGGCATATACTACACCAATCCACCTTCAGACCCAGGCATTTGTGAATTTTTCTGAGTAAGATCGTGTAAATAAACACGAACAACATTTAGTACTTTTCCTGTACTAGACTATTCCTCTTAGACAAGCAGTTACACCATTGTTAGCAGGGGCACCCAACGACCGTTTTCGGGGAAATATCTGTTCGGAGCCCTTTAGAAGGGCTAAAATTTTCGAGAGCCCAAGAACAGCTAAAAATTTCGAAAATGTTTCGTGGTGACTGTTCGTTGGGCTCAGAGTTTCGGGATTTGTGTGGTTTGTTCACCTAAGAATTTCGGATTTTGTAGTAATCTCTAGATCACCTAGAAATTTCGTAGCTTTCGTAAACTAAAAATAGAGCAAAATTTTTAAACCCAGCTGACAGTCTCATTAGCAAAAATTTCACACAACTCATTCAAAACCCAACGACCCTTTTCTGAGGGTCCCCGGCTTACCAGTTACGCGTACGCGAGCGCTATATCAGCGCGCGCATCGCGTGAATAGCGCCTGTCAGTCCTGTGTATCGGTCGATGGACACTCAGGACAGTATCGTAGCAGGACTACGGATGGAGGGATAACCCAGACAACGCTATTGTAGCACTGTTCTCGGCATCGCATGTATCTGATCTACCTAATTTTAATAAAGCCACATTTCTGACATTTGCAGTTACAGTCAACTGTGTAGAAAATAGGCAACTTTCAGCGTTTCAGTGAAGTTTAGCCGGCGAAAACAGACGTTTTTCCACCGTTTTTTTCTTTGCTCGCTCATCGCCACCTGGGGGGTGTGTGTGGAGGGGGGTGGGGGCGAGGAGCGAGGACAAACTACTGCTGGCAACTTTAAATTTTGGTCATGTGCACTTAAATACTTTTTCTTTTACACCTAGAATTTTCTATACATTCATTAGACGTTTCAACTGGCTTTAAAATCACTTAAATGCCTTTTCTTTTACACCTAGAATTTTCTATACATTCTACGTCGCCCTAGAAAATTCGGAGACATTCTCACACTAGATAAAGTTTTCGGAGAAAACTTGAAAGGACCCCTAAAAATTTCGGTCAAGGGAAAAGCTCGTCAGGTAATCTTACGTTTTCGGAAAGCTTTCACTGTAGGCTGTTATTTTCGGGAAAGGCGAAAAACAGCCCTAAAAAATTCGAGAGGGTCAAACCACTCCTAGGACGACCGAACAGATCAAATTTTTCTAGCGATGCCAATTATTCATTTATATTGCTTTTAAAGCACTCCAGGATGCATAACGAGCCATTTCAGATCATTTCCCAGAAAACGGTGGTTGGGTGCCCCTGTGTTAGTTAAAGCCAAGTATTACAAGCGATAATGTTTGTTAGATGAATGCGTTGAAAACGATGTTGTAAAGATGAAATAGAGAGTATGTCCCCCACACGTCCTTTCTTGTAAACTAACTCGCCTAATGTTAATTCATTACTCTGCCGGCAGTAAAATCAAAACTCAGTACAAAATGGCCATTTGGCAAATCTCCCCGTTCTCTTGTAACACCTTCAGACCCACTGACCTAAAAACAGAATTTACTTGAGACAAAACTCATTCTTATCGCATGTGAAATTAATGTTAAGATCAATAAAGGGGACAAGCAATCTATCCATATCATGTTTGTTTGACCAATCAAACTACGAGTAAATTGGGATTAATTTACTTGACAGATAGGCCATTTACGCCTGAGAATCCTGAGTCTTTCCTGTATTCCTGCAAATCCTTGCTCAAAACTTTACTCTCTTAAACCAATGCAATTAACAACTCGTCGATCCTTGCAGAAATGTTTTAAAAAGACAAACAGACCACGTTTAAGCATTGACTCATAATCAGTTCAAAAAAGCCCTCTTAAGTTCACAAACATTTTACCGTCCTTCTTTAACTGACTGTGCGACTATCTTTTTGACTTTACAACTGAATACGTTTTGCAACACGACATTTTTAACGCACGTGACTCTCATCAAGTCCACGAAGAAGAAAACAAGGAAAAGAACATTTTAAATCTGGTTAGAAAACGTTTAGCCTGTGCGCAAGCTGTCGTAATAGGGGTTGATGTTCCTAGTATCTTGATTTGGTTTACTTTGTAAGATATTCCTCTTTTACTAAACGTACTTTTTAGTTCAAGCATACTTGAGTATCTCTAGAGGTTTTCTTTACCAAACATCCGGGTAGTCCCCCCAAATTTTAGAACGTCGTTGCTAAAGACTGGCAAGAATCGTTGCTCTTTGTACGACAACCAGAGAAAGTGACAAACAAGAACGACATTGTTGTAAGACACTTTAATATCAATATATCTAAGGCCCTTCATGGATCCTCAGTGTGAGGCAGTGATTTCAACAGGCATTTGTGAATTTTTCTGAGTAAGATGGTGTAAATAAACACGAACAACATTTAGTACTTTTGCTGTACTAGACTATTCCTCTTAGACAAGCAGTTACACCATTGTTAGTTAAAGCCAAGTATTACAAGCGATAATGTTTATAAGATGAGTGCATTGAAAACGATTTTGTAAAGATGAAATAGAGAGTATGTCCCCCACACGTCCTTTCTTGTAAACTAACTCGCCTAATGTTAATTCATTACTCTGCCGGCAGTAAAATCAAAACTCAGTACAAAATGGCCATTTGGCAAATCTCCCCGTTCTCTTGTAACAACGTCTGGCTGGATCGCAAGCTTTAACAAGCATTCTTCCGCTATCTCATGCTTGAGTACAACTGTATTAATTTTATTCCGTGAGGAAGAAAGTGTTCGATCAGAGTTGTTTACAAAATATGGCAGAGAAGGAAATAGCAAGCTGCGCGAATGATAGGTAATGTTGGTATTGATGGCTGATGTTTTGACACCATTATTCTGATAATGGGTTCTTCCAAGTTGGGTTGTTGAAAAGATATAAAAGTCGCGCTGTGAAGACTAAAAACTGTTGTAATTGCCGCGAGATTCTTTGGGATGTATTTGTTATATTCGCGAGCTCAATGTTGTGTTGCAATAACGCATTCCGTTGGAGTGAAGAAGATCATATCAAGAATTTTCGTTTTTATTAAACATTTTTGGTATGAATTTATAAAGGCAAGAACATCGAGCAGGATACTGACAGTACCAGTCCTAAAGCACGGATGAGTATATCCTACACTCTGCAGCTTCCTCGAGAGCCTCACGCGGAACAGATGATTCAGAGAATGTCGGCTTACCAAAACCAGATAAAATCAAACCAGGAAGCAGAAAAGACATACCCATGGCCTTTTCGCCAAGAACTTCAGGGGAACAACCCAAATGTTCAGGAAACTCAAGATGATCGCATAAGCGACATGAGCCTCAAGCCGTTTAGTGAAGGTTACGCCGCAGCAGAAAACGACGCCATGTCAAGCGAGGGATACAATCCTCAAAATATGCGTAGTACCTTAAAGAAAATAGTTTACCTGCCCCACCTTCGACTCCCATATAGCAGTCGACACAGACAGCATCATCATCATCATGTTCACCAATATCAAGCTGGATTTTCCCGAGGACCCGAGAAAATTCCATTTGCCAAACCCACTTCTAGAAGCAGTGATCTCGGCTTGCTTGTATTACCGACTGATGGACAGAAACAACTGCCTGAAGATATAAGGACACAGATGGAGGATGATGAGATGCTGAGAAACGCAGCTAAACAAACTTTCACCGGTGCCTCGAATGACGATGAACAAGGTAAAGTAAATACAGTTACCTTTTCAAACAAAAATAAAATATTTCTTTTGCAGTATAGCTGACAATAGATGTCTTGATGAAGTCCTTGCAAGAATTGATCCCATGGTCATCCACAATTTCCTAGAGTGTAGGAAACAAGCAAAAAAACATTAATAAACATTGGTAATTTGAAATGAAACATTTCAAGGCCTCAATAATAAGGTGCGTTCCTTTAGGATGATCCGGATCAGAATCAATGATCCGAGATCACTCGGTTCATGGTAGATCAAATGAACCGATGAATCCGCTCTAAGAAAGGATTCATCGGTTCATTTGATCTACAATGATCAAATTGATCTTGGATCACTGATCCTGATCCGGATCATCCTAAAGGAACGCACCCATAGAGACGTCAGACGTGAGAGACGAAATTAATCATTATCAAATGGTACCGCAGGAAAACACTCAAAAGTTACTCACCAGTCTTCGCGTGAATGGTCACTGTAGACGCCAATTCCATTCACAGGAAATTCCAATAAAAGAACGCGAAGACTTCTTTTCGAAAATTTGGCAAAGCAATCTCTTTGCGCGAAACCTTGCCTCCTTATGTACGTCGAAATAAGGACATATTTCCATTTCCAGTATGTTAACGGTCAAGTCCTCACTATTTCTATGTTGCCACTTCAAAGAAGTATTTTTAAGGCAATCCCAAATCTTTTTTGGTTTAAGTTAGATTATTTTATCTCTAGTTTGTTACAAGCAAAATACTTATTAGAATAGACAGAACAGCCTTAGATGGGGTTGAAAAGTTTAAGAGAAGTAAGGCGATGTCTGTGCTTTGTTTACAGAAGAGAACATGAAAGAAGAATTACGCAAAAATGATGCAGAGAGTGATATGGAGAGAAAATGGATGAAGATCAACGCCATAGGTACTCCGGAAATGTTCATGCACTGGTCACACCCTGGAAAGAAACTGGCCTCAATTGGTCAACAAGAAGTCAGCATTGTAAGTCCAGGGGAGGTAGACCTGCTTCAAACGGAATACCCAGACTATCCCAAGCCAAAGGCTCTGGGAGGGGACTTTCCAGGCGTCATCAGAAGAACGATTGCAAAGAAAAAGGCGGCCACTTCAAAGAAATCAAAGAAAAAGAAAGCTTAACAATCAAACAAAATAGTTTAATAAGGTGAACAATTATCTTGTAGCGCTTATAGAATTTGGCGGAACTGACAATGTATTAATAGTATTTATATGTAAGTCTGGAAGACCAGATCTAAAAGAACCAATCAATTCTTTAGCTCTCTAAAATAAGCTAATTTAAAGAACAAACGGAACACAAGTTTACTAAATAACTTTCGTTTAAGATACCAATGTGATAGACAAAAACATTATTTGCCGTCATTTTTTTCCAACAGCTTAATCTCGTTTGACCAAGCTTTTTAAGTTAGGTACCAACAATACTGAGGTATTTATACAGCAGGCGCATGCGCGATAGTTACTCATACTCTTTTCTCTCAATCTCGTTTCCAGAGTCCGCTTTACCCTTGTCCAGCTAAACGGGCAAGGGGGTCGTTCCGTTGGACAAGGGTAACGGGGATTCTGAAGACGAGATTGCGTATCTCTTGCTCGCGCATGCGCGATAGTCACTGTATTAATGTATTAATTAACACCCTCCAGGATTTCCATTATTCTTCAGATGATACGAAAGCCGGTTTCAATAATAGTTTTATTATTCCTTCAAAATAATTCCTAGTTTAAAAAGAAGCTAAGACATGCTTATCTCCACAGACGTTAAGTTCATCTTCGATAGTGCATGTTTATCGGCAAGTTTAGGAGATAAAGGGTCGTTCAGGTCTGCAAATATTCTCCAAATAGCAGATATCGTCCGTCGAGTTGTCTTCACGCTCTTCTTGTTATGTTTTTAGCCAACAGTTGCCCTATTTCTTCCTCGTGAAACGAGTGATATGTTCCGCCATTTTGTAGTCACTACCAAGATAACTCAACCTCGTTCCCAGGTCTTCTCGATCAGGAACGGTTCTATTTTTGACGTCATTTTTTGCATATCGCAAAATTCTTCCACATTTGGTCGACAACCAGATCCAAAAGTACCCGTTCGATGTTAAGCGCTGTCATATCTTCATTGCCTAACCTGGTCATTTAATAACCGCCCTTTCTATCGCTGCGAAAAAAATAGACCCAGTGGGTCAGTTATTGAAACGGGGTTTAGCCAGTGTTTAACAAAACCGCGTTCTAAGCCATTTTCAGTTTACCGAACCCTCTTATGTAAACACCATTTATCGTTAACAGTTTCATGAAAGCATATAGCGTAGACTATTAATGAGAGATCTGAAGATTTTCTAAACCGTGGCCTAAGCTATAAAACAAAAGAAGCAAGGCTGATTTTAAAGTCGGGAATATATATATATATTTCCCAATATTTCGGAAGGCACGGCCTTCCTTCTTCAGGGTCTTACATATAATCTAAGTTAGACGTCGTTTGAATAGCCGAACCAATGTGTGTACGCTTCGGAGCGAAATGGAGCCTGCATCTTTGATGGAATTACTGGTGGTGCTGTTTTGGACTATTCTGCGTTTGTTCTGCTGCTTAGAATAACAGCTAGTCCTTAGGACTAGTCCCGAATGAACACTAACCCGCAATCAAGGTCTTTTAAGTAATATATATGATTTGCTAGGGGCGAAGTGTCGCACGTTAGCGGTGCGGGAGAGCCAGTCATGGCTTGCTCACGCAGGACCTTTCGTGACTTGCGATTTCCAATGGAGAACTTGCTCGTAGACTAAGTGAACCATCATTGGTAGAGGGTGTCCAATTAGACTTAGCATGCGCGCAAGCTCTCCGGGGCGCTCTGGCCGCGGGGCCTGCAAAGTGAGGAGAGCTCAAACTAAGTCTCTGGAATTTGATTATCTGCATCGAAAATCCGGCAGATGCGAAATGCTGATTGGCGGAGATGACATTAGTAATTACGTCAATACCCTTGGCACGTGTTTTTCAATGCTTGTTTACATTCGCGCTCCTTTCCGCTTCACGCTAATTGGAGGAAATCTGACAACTTAGTCTACGGGGAGGCACAGTGGAATTACAAGTGGAATTCAACTTCCAGAGACATAGTTGCAAGCTCTCCTTCCTTTTCCCGCCCCGCCGCCTGAGCGCCCCGGAAAACCTGCTCGCAGGCTCTGGTCACACAAGCAAGCAACCTAATTCCCATGCGAGAAATCAGTTCAGAATCTGAACTGGGTCGCTGATTTGTTACTCCCACGTCCACAGGGAATTAAAGCTGTAACAGTGAACTTGATTGGCTGCTTCGAAGAACTTCGCCGCATGATATTAAAAACCAGTTGCTATGTTTATAACAAACAGTTCTGCAGTGTTGTTTGCATGATGTCCATGATGATGAATTCTCACGGATTAGTACGCTGGGTGCAAAAGGTTTTTTCTTTGTTTTTCCTAATTCCTGATGGTTTGCGGCGCGGTTTATTTGCATTAAAATGCAGCGGAAATGATGTTTGGTTTGGTATAGTCGCTTTGTCAGGAAACGTTTAGTTTGACCTGTTACAGTAATACAAGTGTCGCGGACCGGAAATTCTTGTTATCCTGTTGACTTTTAAAAAACAGCTAGTTAGAGAGTGTGTACTTCTCAAACTTCTCAGCTGATTTTTGTCCTGTTTATATACCAGGGGCACCCAACCACCGTTTTCTGGGAAATGATCTGAAATGGCTCGTTATGCATCCTGGAGTGCTTTAAAAGCAATATAAATGAATAATTGGCATCGCTAGAAAAATTTGATCTGTTCGGTCGTCCTAGGAGTGGTTTGACCCTCTCGAATTTTTTAGGGCTGTTTTTCGCCTTTCCCGAAAATAACAGCCTACAGTGAAAGCTTTCCGAAAACGTAAGATTACCTGACGAGCTTTTCCCTTGACCGAAATTTTTAGGGGTCCTTTCAAGTTTTCTCCGAAAACTTTATCTAGTGTGAGAATGTCTCCGAATTTTCTAGGGCGACGTAGAATGTATAGAAAATTCTAGGTGTAAAAGAAAAGGCATTTAAGTGATTTTAAAGCCAGTTGAAACGTCTAATGAATGTATAGAAAATTCTAGGTGTAAAAGAAAAAGTATTTAAGTGCACATGACCAAAATTTAAAGTTGCCAGCAGTAGTTTGTCCTCGCTCCTCGCCCCCACCCCCCTCCCCACACACCCCCCAGGTGGCGATGAGCGAGCAAAGAAAAAAACGGTGGAAAAACGTCTGTTTTCGCCGGCTAAACTTCACTGAAACGCTGAAAGTTGCCTATTTTCTACACAGTTGACTGTAACTGCAAATGTCAGAAATGTGGCTTTATTAAAATTAGGTAGATCAGATACATGCGATGCCGAGAACAGTGCTACAATAGCGTTGTCTGGGTTATCCCTCCATCCGTAGTCCTGCTACGATACTGTCCTGAGTGTCCATCGACCGATACACAGGACTGACAGGCGCTATTCACGCGATGCGCGCGCTGATACAGCGCTCGCGTACGCGTAACTGGTAAGCCGGGGACCCTCAGAAAAGGGTCGTTGGGTTTTGAATGAGTTGTGTGAAATTTTTGCTAATGAGACTGTCAGCTGGGTTTAAAAATTTTGCTCTATTTTTAGTTTACGAAAGCTACGAAATTTCTAGGTGATCTAGAGATTACTACAAAATCCGAAATTCTTAGGTGAACAAACCACACAAATCCCGAAACTCTGAGCCCAACGAACAGTCACCACGAAACATTTTCGAAATTTTTAGCTGTTCTTGGGCTCTCGAAAATTTTAGCCCTTCTAAAGGGCTCCGAACAGATATTTCCCCGAAAACGGTCGTTGGGTGCCCCTGATATACTTAAAACTTGAAGTGTATCTTTTGGAAAAGAATTTCTGGCAATTTTTAATAGCACTTTCCTTTGTTAGTGAGCTTTCGCGCTTTCGCGCAATTCTTCTTTATGCAAAGCAGATGCAGAGCCACGCGTCCATCAAATTCAAATCTCAAATCTCAGTCACCGTCAATGAAAACAAATATGCACATCAGCTCCAAACCAGTTTGGTGAGATATATAATCCTTAAAATTGCATGGAAATGAGACTAGCAGCTCCTGTGACCAAAGGTTATTTTTTTCTCTCGGCACTTCCGCGCCTCGTTGACTCGGCTTCACCGCGAACCATCAGTATCGATAAGAAAAAATCCTCTGGAACCCAGGAGTCCGAGTTTCCTCATTTAAAATGGCCGAGGGGCAAAAAGGGAGATAGGAAATTAATTTGTATGTTCATAATAAGTGCGCGCTTTACAGAGCCGAAAGGAATCTGGGTAACTCGTGTCAAGTCGAAATGGAATTATTACTTAATTCTTTGACAGAATAGAGCTCAGTTTTCTCGAATTCGGCACGTAAACTCACGACATCTTATATCCATAATCACAATGGCGTCTCCCTATAAAGTCCCAATATGTCGACCAGAAATAAGCGATGGATCCCAGATCCAAAAAAAAAACACTCTTAGTTCTGTACAAATCAGTTTAATGTTTTTTAAAACAAGGTAGTCAGTTTCACATGACGTGTAACAAAATCACAAACTTACAAAATTAATCACTCCTTAAAATAATTGCATTACTTTAATAAAGGAAATAAAGATTATGACTACTTTAGAAAGATTTTTAAATTGGTGTTGTCTTTAATTTGACTGCGAAAGTTTTCGCTTACAACCTAGAAGTTGTTTTCAGCAGTCTACAAGCTGCCTAGCTTCAAGCAGGGAGAATTTCGCCACTCATGGTTGTAGAGACACGCATTATTTGCTCTTATTTCTTTTCGACAGCCTAATCGTGTTTTCCCACGCTTTTACCTTACGTACTGACAATCCTGAACTTTATCAGAGAAGACGGCGGTAGCCCCGGATCATACACATTCTTCCACCGTACGTATAGTTGCTGGTTTAAATATTATTTTCTTTTGTTTCAAACTCATTATCATACATTACCATACCCCGAAACAGAAGAAAATAAAATTTAAACCAAGGAGAAAATTGAACCACAACATATACAAAGAAACGTACCACATTCTCTTAAAGCGAGGATCGCGTAGCACTTAAAAATAGGAATTTTAATGTATCAACTTGAAAGAACCTCACACCTAAATGGAGATCAAGATCGTTTTCAGGGGCTGCGTTCCCATTGTCCAGTGGATGGGTAACAATGTTAGGTATGTGCTTCATATACTAATTACCATGCACTGGACAAGGGTAACGCAGCTTCTAGGGACAGGATTGAAAATCAACTTGTGGTCACAGAATATTAAGTTCATGGCTTACAAGTCAATGAAACGTTACCAAAATTTAATTAACTGGAAAATGCACCAGCGGCTAATTCAACAATTTGGACTCGTTCAGCATGTCGATTGTTCATGCTTTTATTCTTTGAGAAGAGAGAAAATAAGGAAGAAAGACATAACAGAGATATAAAGAGGCATTAAGAGAGACATGGGAAATCATTTTAAAGTCAAAGTGAGCAACGAGACTAAGAAGAAGTGGCAAAAAATATGACTGATGGCGCTTGAAATCCTATTCTGCTCAGACCTATGAGTCAAAATATTCTTGCTTTGTTTAGTAAAAGGAAAACTATACGGTTAGAGAGACTGAATCAACCTCAGCATTCGACCGCTGGCTACATACTGATAGTTTTTCATGTAAGATCCCTTTTAGTTATCATAGCCAAGTGCGGATACCTACAAGTTGACCGCTAACAAAATATTTGATCTTTTCATAAAACGCATGCCACCAATACTAAAATGAGGTCATAAAATGCTTGAAAACAAGTAAAACGCCAGTTGTCTTACACAAAAAGCAAACTACATGTGCTTGAGGTGGCACAAGTCAGCCTTTCATGGATCAAACTACTAGTATTTATCAGTTGATCGTGATGCTACAAAAATAGTATCCACCGATAGAATCGCCCAATGATTAGTAAAGAGGTTAGGCAGCATTGCCGACTATGCTTCTTTCCAACTTGTTGACTTCACATAAACGTTTATCATAGCAACGATATAACACAGTCATAGCAACAATAGAACACCCTCTAAATGAGCTTTAAATGTTCAGAATTAAGGCAAACTAGGTGTCCCTTGTGTTCTTATTTGTTGAGATATAATCATTATGCTATAGTTCAACGTTTTGCAAGGATTTTTTTATTGTTGTAAATACTTAAAGCCATCGTATAATTTGGTAAATTTAAAACGGCTGAGAGCCCTTCCCACATGTTTTTAAAATCTTTATCATTATCCTAAATTGCATAATTTTTAACACCAGGTACCGATCCTGCAAAATGGTATAGAGAGTCAAGTTGCTTGCAACTCTAGTTGTAAATTGCAAAAATTGTAAAACAACACATAAATTCTACCATCAAGACTTCTTATTGCGAACATCTTCTGGGAGAAATAACTGGTACAACCACAACTGCAACAACGACAGTGACTGGGCGAGAATACTGGTAGATATCAATCTCTTTAGCTTGTATGTTTTGTTTCCCCAATGCATGTGATAATACTCTTGAGAACTGTTTCTTTAAAAGGTTGTCTTATTCTTGTGCATATTTACGCTTAATTTATGAAAAGACAAAGGGCCAAATTCCCCTGAGACTTTCATTGGGAAAAAGCATACGAGCTAAAGAGATATATTACAGGTTTTTCACAGTCTCTTAATTTTTACTGATTTACAGCTGCACTTTTGACATTTTATATCAACCTTATTACAGTTTAGACTTGTACTATCCTTTAAGATCTTTATACTGTGGGGTCCTCACCCTTTTCACATTTTAAAAGCCAACAAGACGATGAAAAAACGTAATATGCAAATTCGATACCCGACTAGGCTATACCCACAAGTCTACCGGATAGCTTTGCTTGCCGACACGAAAAGCTATCCGATATAGAAACATCTCTGTTTACAAACATTGTTTTTGTTATTTAAATTTGTAACAAGTGAAACAATAGAGTCCTTTGTTTCAAGAACCAGTGCGTTTCTGGTTAACACATTGACATCAATTGTTGGTTTTCACATGACGTCACTAAAATTGAAACTACAAAACTATTGGTCCTACCGAGATTTTACTTTCACGATGTATTAAAGCAGCTGAAAACCAATTTTCATACAAATTTTCGCTTCAAAAGGGTTCTTGGTTTTGTGATAGAGTAGGCTTGAATTTCTAAGCTTTTGGGTGGCACGGCATTTACGTGGCGGCCGGGAGAGCTGTCATGTAGGTTAAAAAATGACTCATTTCAGGACATTTTGCTATCTAAACAGCTTTTGTATTAGAAAAAGTATTACTTTAATGTTTATATTTTCCTGGAAGAATAAATTCACGCTTTTGTAGCAAAACTCGGTAACAGATGTTTCTGTTGGTTTCCGTCCGCCATGTTGGTGCTCATCCGGATGAGCACCAGCATGGCGTCTCCATACAAATCTCTGTAAATTTGGGTAGAACATTTTTTCGGATATCTTGTATACGAAATATTCCTCTGACCTGGATCTTGGCAAGGATCTTTGCATATTTACCTCCTTTCATTTCCCAGATTCTGGACTTAATCTATTGAACATTTTTGATTTTTATTTTGATCTATTTTGAATGGCGTGACACTGAAAACCAGCAATAGGTGACGTCAGCATGAGAATCGCTATAGTGTGAGCCACTATCCGATATGTGACGCTCCAGTTTAGAGAACGGCGCGGCGCAGCATCGCTTCGTCATAGAAAACGCGCCGAAATCAGAAACCCTATGCGGTATGATATTCGTGCCGGCGCAAAAGCTATGATCCGGTATTGTGTGAACATAGCCTTGCATAATTGTAGGTAATCGCGCTAACATTCCAATGTCATCCCCTAGCATACTTTCGTATGTAACATAATTGCTAAGTTGATGACATAAGCCCTGATAAATGATAACGCCCTGACTTAGAAAGTAGGTTTTAACCACAGATACGTTTAGCCTGGGATAATTGGCCTGTCGGTTACTTTTATCGTACGATTCTAATTTTCTGTATCTCTTTCTTCTTTTTTTGCTGAAAAAAAAATCATTTCGTCGTGCCCAGGGCCAACAAATCATGTCATTGTAAGAATGCCAACCAAAAGAACTGGTGACAAGATAGAACCTAGCAAAGTTGTCGTTTTTCCTGATTCTGCGGTGAAGGGCACCGACACAAGAAACATGCAGATAAAAGAATTTCATCCTCAAGAGGGCAAAGGTAAATGGCTCGCGGTTCATATTCCAGATCACATGCCTTATCCAAGGAAAAAAATAAAAATCATTGCCTCAATAAACGCCGCAAAGGATTTGGAGAAAGTTGTTGGCCCAACCAAGGAAACGCTTGCAATGGAGATACAGTCTCTACTTGGAATAAATGAAGAAAATTTGCAAAAAATGATTGCTAAAGGGAACAGCGATGATGAGAACGAAGGAGATGATGAGGATGATGAGGAGGAGGAGGAAAATGATGACGATAATGATGACGACGATGATGAGGGTGACGTCACAGGAGATCCTCTTGACGATGAACCAATGTCAAGTAAGTGTGATGATTCCAACAGCGTAAGCGCTTCGAAACATAAGAAAAAATGTAGACCTCTAGGAAAGGACAAATCAGCAAAAACCACATCATTTGGATCTGGCTTAGGTGACCAAGTGAAAGAAAACGATGATGACAAAAAGCCTAAACTTCACGTTGAACAACCTGAAGGATTTGAACTTCGATGGGAGGACTTAATAAACAACTTTAAGAATTTTAGCGTTAAACGCAAGAAAAAGATATGCAAACTGTTTGCTTTGCAAAACGATATGTGTGAGCGTGTGACAAGACGGCGGAAACACAGCTTTAAAAGAAAACTGAAGCACTATCTTTTGAAAATGCTTAGAAAGTTCTTGAAGAAGAACAAGAGTGAATTCGAGGACTACTTAAGCACCAGGTTAGTAGAGAACTTACTCCGTTACAGGGCTTGCTTTCTATTTCTAGTCATCTCAGTTTGTAAGTAATTAGGTACATTTTTGTATTTCAGTTGTGGAGCTTACTTCCCATCATTGAAAGTCATAGAGAATTTTAAGATAATTTAAAAGATGAAGGTTAAAGAGCTAGGGTTCGGACCAGTCATTGCACTGTACCGTAATATGTATATGGGCTCAGGCGGTGAAGATCGTCTTTTCCTCTCCTTTGGAATAACATAACTCTTCATCGCCTTAATGACGGAACAGAGTTAATGTTTAATTATGGCTGGGACTTGTACAAGGTACCTTGACCCACGTCAAACATCAGTCTCTCACTACACACCTTGACTAACTTTATCATACTTCACTGCCTGTTGCAGTTCACACTTTACAGGCCCTTCACACGTTTAAAAGGCAATTTTTCTTCCAGTGCTGAGAAAGGTCTTGAGAGCGGCACGGAAAAACGGAAGCTCGAGATGCCAGTAGTCACTTCAAAGAGATCTTTACTAAACATATAATGATATGCACCAAAGTTGGCACTAAGCAAATTTGAGGGGAAAAAATAACTGGAACAAGACTTAGAAGTAACATCACAGAATCATCAAAAAAGATCAAGATAACAAAACTGTGATGCAATTCAGAGTGGGCCAAATGAGTTAAAAAGAAAATCTCTTATTACAACAGGGTCCTTAGCTAGAAACTAAAGTTAAATACAAGCTTAGCATAAGCAAAATCTTATATACACCTAAGTGGATAAAGGTTGCTTTGGCAATTGGTCATAGGGCGCATATTTGGGCTTTGGGCATTTGGGCGTACGGAATTCACTGCAATGATTTGCTTGAGTGACCACCAAACAACAGCTGTCCAGTGCGCAATTGCCTAATGCCTAAAGTAACCTTGCTTGAATCAGATATAAAATACTAAAACAACATTTTGCATTGGTTGTACAAGGTTGAAGGATGCCTTAACAGGACGAATTCAACCCTCCGAAGATGGTCTCTTACATATATATGACAAAAACTCAGGAAAGATGAACATGGAAGACTTCTTAAAGGACCTCAACGATGGTACACCACCTCAACTAGGAACCACAGCCGATGAGACACGATTAGCTTTGCCCCAGTCTAATCTCAACCCTATGGCTCTAACTATGGATGACAATACAATCAACGGAAATGTTTTTCGAGTAACACCTCAAACAAATTCGGAAAAGCTAACAACAGAGGAAGCTCCGGATCAAAGTACACCAGATGCTGTATCAGCACTCAACAATATCATACACCCTCTGCTGAATGATCAAGATAATAACATGGATGAAAGGCTCCAAACAAAAATTCTGCAAGAAGAACTAAGTAAGATTACAGAATCTTCCTTACTTTTTGCTTGTTTGCTTAGTAACAAAACTGCAACATATGTAGTTTTCTCTTCGGTAATTAATTACAACAAGGGGTCATAACGTTGTTCAGAAAACAAATCGCGGTATACCTCGAAAAGAAAACAAATAAGCATTTCAATATCTTATTTAGTCGAATATGCGCCGCCCTCAAACAAGCGCCGCATGTGGACATAAAAAAGTTGATAAGAGTCGTTCCTGAATAAGTGCCGCGGCCCCGATACAATCAAAATCAACAGACGTTCCTGTTCGTTACTGAAAATAATAGTACCAGTAACATAAATGAAACTATTCTTTTTCGCGACCAACATTCATGAAAACGCTGCTCTTAAATAAGCACTGCCCTCGAATAACCGCGGCAGTTACAGAGTGAGCGTGGCGCTTATTCTAGTAAATACGGTGAGTTGTTTGGTTTTTTTTTGGTTCCTCTGCAATGCTTGTTCACCAAGCGGGGTGACATTGTGTCGTGTAGCGTTTGCTTCAAAGGGTCATTGTTGGTCTGTTAGCTCCATTTCTCACTATTAACATAGGCGCTAGCGACGGAGTCGTAATCGAAAGCGTAGAGCTTATGGTCTCGTGAAAACAGCGTTTCGATTCCGCTTTCGTTCCGCTTATGACCTAGTGAAAACCAGATTGTCAGAGTCGGAGGCAGAAGCGAAGAACTAAACCAGTCACGAAGTGTGGGAACGTGCATTGTTATTGGTGTATAGCTTCCGCTTCTGCTTCCGACTCCGACAATCTGGTTTTCACTAGATCATAACCGGAACGTAAGCGACGGGGTCGTAAGCGGAGTCGGAAGAAATGGAAACGTTTTGATTCTTCTGACTTCTGACGTCGCGCTTATGACTCCCCTGACGACTCCGTTTTTTGTTTTGAACAAGTTCCAGAGGAGGATCGAATAGTATCCCATGATGCATTTTTCCAGAAGCATCAGGCAATATCGCAGTCATAGCAGATTCCATCTTGAAATAAGGTCGTTTTCTCGTCGGCTTTTTTCTCACTCGATTTCCAGTAAAAGTAAAGAAATTACATTATTTCGTTATTTGACATGATTTCTCCGATTTGCAATGGCTTAAGAGCGAAGTTTCCACTTAGAAACATTTATTTTCACGGTTTCAATTAGTCTTCCCATCACAAAGTGTTCAGTGACCCACAACCAGGTCATGAATATTCAAGATTTTTTGGAATATATGTTGAAATCTTACAAATGTGGACCTCACGCCAGCAAAATGAAGTCCTGAATATTGCACAGGCCAAGAAGTACCCAGAAGTACCCACATTTTGAAGACTTTTTTGTCGACCAAAGATGGCTGAAATTTCGAATCTTTTATCACATTTCAACGCCATGTGTCATAATATATGTGTAAAGCCTGATGAAAGCTACAATCTGTTGGGCGCTTTTGAGAGCGCTTTATGCCGAAGCAATTACTTTGTATTTTCAAAGAGGTTATTTTTAAAAGGAATTTTACTATAATTATTTTAATTCGAAGAAGGAGCGGTGTATAACGGTGTGTTTCAGTGTGAAAACAACCTAAAGATAGGTACCACGCAGCATGCAAGCCGGCACAACGTAAACTGAAGCCTGCTCAGAATTTGAAAAAGAAATATCATATTTATGCAAAAGAACAGATCGGTCAGTATTCTGGCCAGGAAATTTCCTTGAAGATTGCTTGAGTCAGTACCGGGTAGACTGTGCTTCAGAGAATTGTTTGTCGCATCGATAGGTTAACTGCCATTGTAAACTTCAGCTCCTTTGAGCGCGATACTGTAATAAATTCTCATTTGGTAATTAGCTTCACAGCGTAGCGGATGTTTTGTTGGAACCACTTTATAGATCAGTCATAGTTTAGGTTCTCCTCTGGCCTGGGTTCTCCTAGGGAACCTAGTGAAGCTTATCAATTGCGAGTCTTACAATTGGTGTTTACAGTGCGACCGAGCGCGGCACAAGTAGTTCTCGACAGATCAGTGAAATACATGTAAAACCCTTCTCAGTCAAAGCAACGCTGAAATTCTCCTTTAAAGCACGGTGAATATAAGCCAACTCGATAATCTCAAAAGCAGAAGCTGCTGAACCGAAACATGTTTGGAAACCATCCACATCGAGCACTGCGATCGATGTTCACTTCGCGCGTGCTGAAGATTACTGATCATGATGTGTCACGTACGCAGTGATAATATAACATGAATCGAAGTGCATCATGGGATACTATTCGATCGTCGTCTGAACAAGTTCCTAAGCGCTTTTACGACTCCGACTCCGTCGCTAGCGAAAACCAGCCTTAAGGCAATACACTTCACTTTGAGACTCCAAGGGAAAAACCACAAACTCTCTATATTTTTTTTCCCATGGCCTTAGTTTTCAGTGCATCCTTGGAAGTCCAGGATTAATTAACCGGGACGGGAATATTCACTGATGAAATCGTGCTCAAAGGTTAGAAGAAGGATGGAAAAAAGCTATCGACACATACTTAGGAAACCATTTACCCCAAGTGAAGAGATGTTTGTTGTTCAATATTTCCAAACACACAATTACTGTTCATCTTATTCCATTTTTTCCTCTTCAGACCAGCTAAGAGGGCGTTAGATGCATATTCAGAAATGCAACTCCCCCATCAATACTGTCTTATTTCAAGTGTCAAACTAACATTGCTTCGTTTAGTATCTTGTTCTTTAATCTCTTACTGTTGTTTTGGTTTTGTTGTTTAAGGTCATGTCAATGCTGAACAAGAAGAGCAGGAAAGACAGAGGAAAAAAGATGCTTCGCTCAATGATCGCCTTATGTACATGTTCAAGCTACAAAATCTTGCAAACCACAAACTGGAAACGACAGACGCCAATGGGGAAATCGGAGGCCAGCCAATCAGTATAGTGAATCCTCACCAGGTGTCTCTAATGCAGATGGATCTTCCAGACAAGAACCCGGATATACCTTTATTAACATCCAGTTCTTCAAAAGAGTCAGAAACGAGCGCAAAAGCACGAACAAGGATCAAAGATTTACCTTTCAGAAGGAAGCCTCCTTTTACCAGAAGAGTAGTATATAGACCAAGGTTATCGTTATATGATAGACCACGGTTGTTGGGAACCCTCAAGTTAAGAACTAGTGGAAATGGAACCTGGCGACCTACGGGGAGAAGTTTTTGGAAGCGAAGTTACGCAAGTAAAAAGAAGCCTAGGAGACAAGTTACTTGAAATCTTATTTCGGACAAGCTATGCTTATACTCTAAGGTGCTCGAGTAAGATGTTTGCAGGGCACTCGAGTAAACACGTCTATTTTCCAAGTACTCAAGTCAGATTCCGGGGCGCGGGCCGGTACTCTGGCATTAGAGTAGGCACCAGGTCACTTTGTCCACCCAGTTTTCGTTAGTCTCATGCCCAAAACTCCCCAGTACACTCACACTTCAAAATGGCGTTTAATGGAGCAAGTCCAACACCATTTTTTTGCTGCTAGCCAGGCACTGGTGCTTACACTACGTTTCAACATGCTCTTTGTACATGTAGCCTTGCTTATGAGCTGATTTTTTTCAACGCTGTTGTTATGTTGCTATCTATTTTTAAGGAGCAGCAAATAGGTAGTAAAACTATAGCAAATGTTCAACAAAAATTAGCGAATATACTGAAACAAGGCACTCAACTAGTCTTTGTTTTCGTTTGCTAAACTACAATAGTTTGTAGACCTGTTGGGAGCTCGAGAATCCTTGAGTCGTGGGCGATTCGGGGCTGTCTTTTCACAATCCGTCTAAAAGTTATTTTCTTAGCTTCCATTCACTGTTTGAATTTTTTAAGTAAAATAAGAGAGCTTTATCTGTTTAGCTTGCATTATGTGCATAGAGTTCTCTCGTCTCGGGCACGCGTTCCTTAGAAAAATAGGGAGCTTTATCATCGACGACGGCGACGGCAGCTAAAACGTCACTTTTAAAATGAATTTGCGTCTTATCAAACTTTGTCGCGTTTATTCGAGTTCGTTGAAAATGTTAAATGTAGGCCAATCTTCCAGAACCTGATTTCTTGGGGACCACACTCAAGTTTAGAAAGAGACAGAAAAAATCGTCGTCGCTTATTTACGCCCTCCATAGTAGAAAAAAGTTTGATGCACGTGCAAAGATGTTGGTTGGCCTAATAAAGCTATTGCGTTTTCTGCCGTTGCCCTCGCCGTCGTCGTGGCTTAAGCTCCCTATTCGTCCGGGTTTTTTTAAAAATAGCGAGCTTTAGCGGGAGAAAACAGCCGACATTTCGCAAAGCCATCACTGGTTTCTCTGCTTACTGACGCCTAAAGAACGAGCGTATGAATTCTATTCTCATGGGGTGTTGCTCCCCGGTGCATCTCATTGGTCGTGCCACAAGGGAAATCTGCTTCAACCAATCAGAAGCACTACCTAGATCTGCGTGGTCACACGTCATAAGTATGGAATTTCTACGCTCGTTCCTCAGACGTAAAGATCATGATTTCGGGGAGCAACCTGTGATGGTGTCGCGAAATGTCGGCTATTTTCTCTGGTTAGGTAAACGGAGGCATTGCTATAAGTAGTGCTAACTTTTTCGCTGTATGCAGACACTTACCGAAAGGCCTATACTAGTTTGTGGAGATTGACAAAAAGACAGTGGGCAAAGAGGCTTGTAAGATTAAGTGAGAAACATGATATTTTAATATAAAGGGTTTCGTCAATCGTTTGTCTAAAGATTGTCACATAGATATTGATCGCGACGTTTCGACCGCGTACTGCAGGTCTTCATCAGGCGATAGTGTCGATTTATATATTACTTAGTAGAACTAGTTGTACCACCATTCTTGTTAGTGATTGGTGCATCACAAACCTGGCTCATGGTAGGTGGGTTCCTATCCAAAGCATTGTTGGCATTATTAGAGGAGGACCCAGTTCCCTCAGTGGTCCGTTGTGGTAACGATCGACTGCTATGTTGTCTGATCGTGGGTATCCACGCTTCAGGAATCTCAATACCATTGTCCCTGTTGATGTTTTTAGGGTCAAGTCATATGTGAGTAGCCTCTTGACTGTACGAGAGTACCAATGAGGGTCTCGGTCAATAAACTTAACCTCGTCCCAGAGCAGATAATGTCCAGTCTTATTATACACCAATTTTTCATTTTTTTTTTTTAGTACAAATAGTTCTACTCAGTAGATCGACACCATTGCCTGATGAAGACCTGCTGTACGAGGTCGAAACTCCGCGATCAATTTCTTTCTGACAATCGTGAGACAAACGATTAACGAAACCCTTTATACACATTATCCTCGATGAAAAATATCTTTCATGAAATAACATATTCATATTCATAAAACTTCAATAACGTTAAGTTTCTTTTCCATGTATATAAGATAAACCGAGAAACAGAAGATGGCAGCCAGCACTCGAATGCTCCGGCTCCCTTCGTTACGTACAAATTAGGAAAATTTCTCATGCACTCGAGAAAAAAAGCTTGTCACACAAAATTTGCTGAAAGGGGGCGGGATGCATCTGGATGTCTCCTGTCTTCTTCAGTTTCTATGTGTATATAGCTGAGCATAATTTTGATCTAAGTGACAAAGAATATGAGTTTACTTTTCTTGGAATATTTTAAATGAAAAATAAATGGTCCATTTTATAAAAACAACCTCTTGGTCATTCATCGATATCATCATCGTAATCATTTTTATCATTCATTGACGATATTTCGCTATTTCTGATTGCCAGCGATTAACATACTTGGAAGACAACGACAATATTCTACTGATACGATGGGTTATCAGAGGTTATTGACCCAATATAAAATATCAACCTCGTTTCGAGGCAGCGGCGCGGCAGCCTAGCTGTTTATGCATGAGTAAGCTTTAAAAAAATAGCCAAGAGTTTACGATTATCCCTAGACGAATTCGCCGAATTTCTGACTAAATTTGAACAGACGAAATTGGAAGAAAATGCGAAAAAATATGACTCAATGGATGTCATCTACTTTTTGAGGAACACATCTGCAACACAAAATCCCGCGATCGTGTCGAGAATTAGAAACAGGCGAATTTTTTGAATAAAGTCTATGAGGAGGCAATTCTTAAGAACTTTTTTAAAAAAAAAATTAAATTAAATTAATAATAGAACAATAATTGAGTTTGGCTTTCGTATGATGTGAAGAATTATGCAGATAACCGAGGCTGTCGGCCGAAGGAGAAAATCCTCCTCAAGCTGAATAATTCTTCAGAATATATAACTCAGTCCAATTTAATAATTGTTTATTACTTCATGAAGCTGGTGAAAATTAAAGGCAGCTTGGAAGCTGGTGTCTACTCTGACCTGCTACAGCAATACACACACCAGAGGCACCCAACGACTGTTTTTGTGAAATATAGTAAATATCTGTTCGGAAAAGCAAACATAGCCTAGAATTTTCTATTACTTGAGGACGGCTAAAAATTTCTGGATGACCGTACCACTCATGCACAATTTTCGAAGCTTGTCTAATAAATTCCCTACGATTTTCTACGAATATCCATCGACACTTGCTGGAAAGAGCACCTTAACATTAGTACATTAGTGGGGTTTCTCGCCAGAGTGCGGACTGATCGGGCTAAAATTTCATTTAAATTAGCCTCTGGCTAAATTAATTCTTATTAGGTTGTCCTTTACGGTCATTTGAAATAGTGAGGACAAAACCCTGTTTTCAGCGAGGACAGGAGAAATGCGTGTCTTAAAAGGCGTGGAAAAAACTTGTGGAATGTCAAAAAAACAGCAGGTTTATGGTCCCAGAACAAAACATTGAGTCATGTACGAATCCCTCCCCTTAAATTCATTCCTAGCAAATTACCTTATCAATATCCGTCATTTCACTTCTTCAGGAAAGTTGTCATCTCGACCGCCATTGTGTTTTATTGCAGTAAAAATGGTTTAAAAAAATTATACCAAGTCTTAAGTATTGGATTTCTGCCTTGTACTTTTACAAATGAAGGTACGTTTCTCAGTGATGTATTTACTTTTCACTTAAAGCATTTTTCACTTTAACAGCAATCCTAATATTCATATCAACAGACACTCTCCGCTTTTGCCATTAAATTTCGCTAATTGTGGGCCCTTCTTTTAAACCGCACTACATCGCTGTCAGTGAAAACTGGATATTTAAATTGTGTTTCTGTGATCTATAGGGGGCTTATAAGTTTGTTATGTCGTTTTATTTCAAAACGAAGGACTTCACTGTACTGGCTTATCTCTGGCCAGCGAGATCACTCAATCTTGGACGGTAGTGTCTCAGTCACAGCTAATTGGTATGAAAAAGATTAACATATAAATTACATTGATAATGACGAAGTTACTATGATACATAGTTCGCTTTGATTCAGTTAATAAAGTTTGACAAAAAGTAACAATTTAATACTAACCTCAAAAATACAATTACACTACTAAGGCTGAAGAAAAAGTACCCTCTGCCGACAACCGTGCAAATCCCCCCAGAAATCTGAACGAATAAATTTAAAAAACGGGTTTTTTTCTGTTCTTAGCCTTTGATATGGAAATGATTTTTCACTCTCGTGGAAATAAAAGTTATTTTCACAAGAAAGGTTGTGCAATTGGCCTCATTTTTAAAGTGAGGGTTTTTAGAACCCGGAAGTGGTCTATTGAGAATCAATAGAGGAGACAACGGTTTTTTTGGTGTCCTAGCATTCATTGACTTAACAGACATTCCGTTAAATTATTCTTCCAAAACAAATATCACATGCAATATCTAATGTATGCATCGTCATTCTTTAGGACGAAAGGATATAGTCGGTAATAAAGGGACACCTTATTTGTGCGAACATGAGGATCAGTACGTTAATGATGCTGACTCTTGCCTCCTTCTGTCTTGGTAAGTTGTTTCCAGTCTTCTAAGTTCACAATACTGACGTGTGCAGCGATTTCTACTAAGCAAGCGCCAATCGACAGTTTAGTCTTTCATACATGATATTTTCTCTTAAATAAAACTTTCTTTGCCATTTTTTAATCCCATGTGATAAAAAAAAAGACAAAACTAAATTCGACCAAATTGACCACCATGAAGCTAACACGTAGAATAGAATTTAACTTAATTTGGCATATCATAGTATCAAGTATCAGCAAAGACAAATTTCACTAACATGTTTGCTTTTTTTTTTCATTAGCTGCGGAAGAGCAAGGAAACCAGCGTAAAAATATCAAGTTGTTGTTCGTTCCAGCAGACGTTATCGTATCGCTTCGTAAGAACCTAACAGCCAAGGATCTACTCGGGGGACTAAATATAGGATCAACAGGCCAGGCCACACAGCGTTGGACACCAGTCCGTCTCCCGGGCGATAAAACACGCTCCTTTGAAATTCGCCTTAACCCCCGCACAGCGCATAAACTTAACTTAAGCTTTCGACATTTCAGAATCGGACGAGGCCATGGTCTACTATTGGAGCTGAAGAACGTTTCTCTTTCAACACTGCAAAAGAACGTGTTGGATAAACTGGTTGAGTTTTATAAGAACTGTGGTAGTAGAAGAAGAGCGCATAATAGCATGATGCATAGACTAAGGCGTCCAGTACTTCCTTTTATGCCGCATTCACTTGTGGTGCCTGGAGATGTCCCGCTTTTGAGACGTATTCAAAACGCTCTCGAACGTTTTTTCCCCAGGCGCCATGACGGATCGGTGGAAGTTGTTCAACACAAGGATTCGAACGGAGCTGTTCATTTTCTACCCTTTGACGAGGTGCGCCGTGAAGTAGATAACCTCCTCAAACGAACAATTGCAAACAAAGACTGCATAAAGATTAGCACAGACGCCTTGACTCGTGCTCTACAGGCTTTTAGAAGTCAGAATAATAACAATACTAATGAGATCTCGGCAACCAGTGTCCTGAACAATAAAAGCACTGGTAAAGGAGACAGGGGTAATGTGGCTGGAGATTCTCAGGACGCAAACAATGAAGACGAAGAAGATGGCAACATTGTTTCTTTTGCTCGCAATCTAGCTTCTCTAGACTCAGACAGACGAAACAAAGTAAACTTTACTTCTGGTGTAAACGTTCCTAATGATGCTGCACCAAGTAGCATGGCGTCTGTCCTTGCAAAGCTGAGAAGAGCAATTCGTCTGTTCCTAGCTAGCTATAAAGGGAATCAGAGCCTTCCCAGTAGTGATAAAGATCATGGCAGCCCGGTTAGTGTTGGAAGTCAAAATAAGACAAAGACCCGTGTGAGCAACATACTGAAGGCTATCAGCAGCGATGAAAGTGAAAAAAAGAACGAAAACCGAAACAAGCAACAGCTGGGCTTTGATTTAAGTGAAGCAACCAACAGAATAAAAGTGATGAGTAGTGATAAAACCGATAACAAAAACAATAAAAGCAGCTCTATCCATGACAACAGCAGGCAACATGCAGAACCAGTGAAAATTAAGACCGATGATATGAGTGCAGGAAAAGCAGATACAGGCACAAGTTTAATGGAAGTCAAAAAGGATGTCTCGAAGGTTGCCCAAAACTCCACTTCTTCAGCTCATGAATTTGAGGCTCATGACTACAGCAGTTTAAAACTCAGTAACGCGAATATTGAAGGCCTTCTTCGACTCATCCAAGCTTTAAAGAAAGCAAAGAGCCTCAGAAAAAATAAACCCGGGGAAGTTTTTATGGGGAATTCCAAGGGAACGGAAACAATTAATAAAATGGAATCTAGTAAAGTTGGAAGATATAAAAGGCCTCATAAATATAAGCATCGGAATAAAGCTCGTGTTAAGGACAGGTATAACATAAAGCAACAATCAGTTGTTTTTCATTTCAAACCAAAGTCAATGAGACATAAAATGCACACCAGATTTAAAGACGGTCACGACGATGACGAGGATCAAGTTGACGAAGGCGGCAGTGAGAAGTACATAGGCAAAGGGTCATTTACAAAACCGCACCGTAAGCTAAACCGCAAGCCACAAATCAAAGAAACGACGCTAGAAGACGAAGACGATTATGATGGCAAGGAAAACGACATTCACAAACAAGTAGATGATTATCCAACGGAGGAGAGAGAAACTTATGAAGAAAACGACGATAGGTTATTGAGAAAGATGCGGCATTCCAGAAAACATGTTCACGCTAGCCGCAAAAGTCCAAAACTTCGTGTCGTGGTATACGACGATGACGAAGACGAAAAGGAACTTCACAACGATATGTGGCAAAATAGCGAGAGCGAGGAGTTCGCAGAGAAACTTCACCAAGATGACAACGAGGCCATAACGGAGTCCCCGGACAAGACATCGGATGGATCAGACACGGCACTTTATAGGGACGATCAGAATAACCGGCAGTTGGAGCAAGGAGAGACTACAAGTGAGCAAACGAGTAATTCTGATTCTGATGTTCAATATTTGGCAGACAGTATTGGGACCGATGAAAATCGTCAGCTTGGGGAAAGCCAAGAGACGGAAGTACCCAACTTGGAGCCTTACTTAAAGAAACATTATGGTAAGTGATTACCTTCTCCCAAACAAACAAAGTCTTTTTAATGGAATGGGGGAGAGCACTTGATGATAACATAGTTAAACAGTCCATATTGATTTCATATGATTTCGTGAGAAATCATTTTCAATTGGCATTTCTATACTGACAGATAGACTCAAGAAAAATGGCTCTGACTTACTCTTTTATTGGTTAGAGTCTTCTGTTTGGTGAAGGCATTTACACCGTTAATGACTCTTGCAAACGTGGTGCCGATGTATATAATACGTTTCGGATACAGTTATTTGTCACAGTTGATAGGGATCCGTTACGTGAACCTCCTCTGCATATTCTCGTCACCTTTCTGAATAGAAATTTTTGATCTCTTTTGCGTTATAAATTACTCTGAAGAAAAAACTACTCTTGTTATCACTTGAAATCTCCAAAAGTATGATTCAGAAATCTTCAATGCGGTGAAAACACTGTGAAAAGGGCAGTTGATTAATATGTAAGTTGCCCACTCAAGGTAGCTAGCCTGCACAACAGTCGTTATTATTATTATTTATTTTCACTGGGGGAGAATCTAACGTGGATTATGTAAACAAAAGCATCTCAAACTACGATGTGACGAGTTTCCTTTGAAACTAAAATTATAATGATTATTTGCTTTTTGTTGTATTTAGATGACGAGGAAGGTGAAGAAAGTGAAGAGATAAAAATGTTCAATAATCAAGATGACAAATTTGGCAACGAGATGGAAAAACGAATCAGCAAAGCTTCAAACCAAGACGACGCCTTGTTAAACGCACAAGTAAACCCACTGGATAATGTTGAAGATAAAGTTCCCGGTATAATTCGCATGCACAATCTTCCATTCACAATCCAAGAAGATTCAAATAGTGAAGATACCAGTCTTCTGAAGGGACAGCGTAAGGGTGACTCGCTTGGAACTCAGCAAACACTCGTTCCAGGTCGGATACCCTCAGTGGTGCCCTTTATGCCTTCCTCTCAACCGATGGCAATGACATCTTTCACTCCAACAGCAAGTCAAGGTATAGATCTGTCGCCAAATGTAGTCATGCCGGCAGAGCAGACTACAGTAATACCAGCGACTGGAGAACTTCCTCAAATGGCTGGAGGTTCGCCGATAGGGAGACCTGACATCGCAGCATTTTCGAGGGTTAATTACCAGCCAAGCATGGCCTCCCAAATGAATAGCATGATGCCACAAATGCCGTATCCGCAGTTCAACAGTATGATGCCAATGCAACCAGGTGTACCAAACATAGCAACTCCATGGACGCCTGAAATGCAGCCTGGCCAGATAAGAGGCTACATTTCCGGACGCTCTAAAGTGAACGCGACATCTGGCGTCAAGAGGAGGCAGGCATCAAAGAAACGGCATGCTCATAAATCGAAGACTCAAGTCTAGGGAATAATGCAGTTCATTCAGGGCCAAAATCCCCGAACATTCATCTCATGGCCAAGCCAAGTTCTATATCTTTCTGTAACAGAAAGAGATTTTGCCTATTTTAACGATAACGCTCGAAATAGCATCCCCTTTTGAATTGGCGACCCCACTCCCTCATTATCAGCCAAAACTATGGACTAAGTCATAAGTGCCCCCGTTTAACGCACTCATTACTGAATATACGATTTACAATATCTATATCTTCAATGCAATTGTATATAGCATAACATGTAAGTAAGATCACTGGAGAATGGCTCCTTTTGGGGACATCACACTATCATATGTTGAAGGCTCCTCTAACAAAGATAGCGACAGGCCTTTAGTAACTACGGGACGTTAAACGAGGGTCCCCAATAGGTTTTTCGGGATCCGGGATTTGACTTAATTGAAGTCTGGGGCTCGGATTCAGCATTTCTGAAAAAAATGGGGGCGATATTCGGTTTTCAAGTAAGCATACGGGATGTGCGATAAAGCCAATTTGCAGCGGGATTACGGACTGAAGCGAAGCGGTTAGATCGGGAGATCGGGATTTGAAAAACCTATTGAGAACCCTCTTAAAAGTCAAGTATATTACCACATACATAGAAATCTAGGTCCATGGCAAAGGACCCGATAAATGTTACAGTTTTTGTTCATATGAAATAAAGGCAATCTCATTTTGAAGCCAAAATTCCGAAGAACGAAATACTGAAGCCCCTCCCCCCAAGTCAAAAAAAAAAAAAAAAACTACCCAGGCTAATGATAATCATCACATTGATTAACTGTTAAGATACAACTTAAGAGCATCGTTATGATGAAAAGCAGGAAACTGATTTTAGAAAACTTTTCTTTTTGAAAATAAAAAATGGAAAAATGTTCTGGATGGTCCTTTACCTTAATAATTTTCCTTCAGTTCCATCGTCAATAAAAAAACTGCCCCAAACATAAAACTACCACACGGCAGTGATGAACTGAAAAATCACGGTGATTTGATTCGGGGCACAGGTGATGCTTAAGCAATACGGCAGAGACGGCGGAGAAAATGGTGCTTTTAATAATTTGTGTTCCTTCAAACTTCATTACCATTTAGCGAGTTCGCAGAGTTCAAAGACGGGAAAAAATTGCTCTGTTTGTCTTGATGGGGAGATGTACATGGGCATTATTGGAAATCTTAGACAATTTTTTTTCAGACGATCTTCAATGAATTTAGACTTGCTTCTTGGGGATCTATGTCCAATAATATATGTACCTCACTAGGATGATTGTAGGTACGTAAAACTAATGTTGATTTTGGGACGGTTTTTCTGCACGTTTTAATTTGCATATTTAAATTTTATTTTGTAATTTGCTGAAGTAAGTGGCCAGCCTATATTATTTGTTCAGTTAATCTGTGAGGATTCCCTGTTTGAAACGTAGAATAATTCGTCTGATCAGAGTTTGGGAGATTAAAACAAAGGCCGTGAAAATGGGACATGAATTGAATTCACTTTTGTTCTCTTTCTTCCTCCAGAAATATATGTAGCTCCTGAACCAGTTCGAGCCGAAATATTTAAAACAATCTCGTTCCCAGAGCTTTTCCCTCAAACAAAAGGGGAAGCGACGACCGGAAACACTTCTGTTTCCGTCGGTTAAGGGAGGTTGGAAACACATTAATATGGTAGTACACGCGGATGAGTACAATGAACGCCCGTTAATAGAGCCTGAGACCAGGGACCAGATTCCCGATAATTAACAGGCCTGGGGCCCGTTTCTCGAAAGACCCGGAAACCTTTCGGGCCCGAAAAGCCATTTTTAGTTCAACTGTACCTAAAGACGGAGAAGTATATACGCCTGAAACTTCTTGTATGTAGGAAACCTCTCTTCATATTAAGAATATGTAAATAAAACAGCTCTGTAATCGTAAGGTTCGAGATTTTGCTATGGCTTTACGGGCCCGAAAAGTTTCCGGGGCTTTCGAGAAACGGGCCCCTAGACTGAAGCTGTTGTTGTTTACATTCAAGATAGAGGTTTCAGTCGCTTTGTAGATAACATGATAAAGTAAAAAGGCAATAGAAGGGTTTGGAAGCTAAGACTTGCCCTTTTATTATTCAGAGTTTCATAATTATTTGAATTTTTGCATTTCGGCCGACCCGAAAAATTACTGCGACCTTCCCCCTCCGGGATAGCTTTTTTGTGCCCTGTTGTTCGCCTATTTCGCTAGCAAGGAGCCTGGTCTATGCCAGGCTAGCTACTGTTAATACGGCCACCTCTTCTCGTAGAAAGTGCAGCTTATCCTTTGACATTTTAAAATATGCAATAACAGACATTGTGACTGTAAATCTCCTTGAAAACACAAATATCACTCGAACACTAAACTTGAAGAAGAAAACTCACTTTTAACAACTCAATAAAAAAGTGAAAGGTTGTAGAGTTGAATAGTTCTCACTTGCCATCCTGCAATAGTAACACTCAAGATCTTGTATACCGAGAAAAAATTGCAAAGAAGGTAATATAAGGGACTGACCATTATTTCCGCCAGGCCGGTATACTGCTTTTCGTAAAATTCTAACAATTCTATCAAGATGGTCGATGTTGTACATGACAGAGATGATTTATCTTTATTCTTTCATTCTTAAAAGTTATGACAACAACTAAGAAAAATCTTAAGGAAGTTTCCACTTTCATAAGATAGTGAAAGCTGCGACAGCTCGATCGACAATCCCGTCTAGAGAAAGAGAGGCAAAATAAATAAATAAATAAATAGTAGTAAGAGAAGATATCGCAACGGAGGATAAAGGCGCCAGTGCTTCTAAAAACGTTTCCCTGAAGATCAAAGAGTTTCACCAGCCTTGCATCGATCAATCCCAAAAAACCGGCAAGCCAATGTAGTAAAATAGGGTTAAAACTCTTCCTGAATCAAAGTTATCTTCTAAACTGGAGGGTGTGGTGGTTTGTCGGCTACCGAACCAGTTTGGGAAAACTTCTTCAAAGAGTCACTACAAAGAGCAAAAATATTAATGACAAAGTTCTAGAGCTTATTTCATTACACAATAAGACAGAGTGAGAGTGATTCAATTCTATCACAAAGTCCGACATCCTTATTATTAGATAGTGAGACGGTTAGTCATTACAAAGAGAGAAAATAGTCGGAACGAGAGGAGTGTTGTTCCTCTTTCGAACTGGGGTCGAAGATGACCATAACTTCAGACTGAAGACCAGCGGCGGTAGGTCCGAAGATTGGTTGTGAGGTCAATCTGAACCCATGAGACAAGAGTGTGTGGTGCTGCAGCTTTGCGAGGCACGTTTTCTGTGTTCTTCTGTTGCGGTCCTTCGTTTTTCTGCCGCACGGGCCTCAGTGATAACTCTTCGACGCCAAGTTGAACGGTCCTTGCAATTAGCTCGCGACTCCCAAGTACTGGGTTTTCGACTTCAACGTCTTTGTGGGACTCGGCCTTGGGGCAGTATTCGAAACGCTTCTTCTGTTCCCTTCAACCTAGCGCTTGCCATGACAGCCGCGCTCCATACAGTGGCTGCTATTTTCAGGCACCCTGGCGACGTGGCTGGCCATCTGAACTTGGCTTTTTGTAGGACGGTGCAAACGCTGGGATGCCACCCACGTCTATTACCTCCGTGTCAGGAATTTTGAGAAGTCTGCGGAGGAAGCTCGGATAGCAATGATTGAGCGTCATGTCTGCTGTAGAAAGTCCGGGTCTCGCCGGCGTAAAGGAGAGTGGAGTTCTACTACACGGTAAACCTTCAGCTTAGAGGTGAGCTGAGGCTGATGCCTTTCTGCTCCCAGACAGACCTTCTCACGGTGTCTTCCGATGGTGACGCTGGTCTCAGTAATCCTGTTGGTGACTTCACCCCATGATGTACAACTCTTTTGAAAGTGTACTACAGTGAAACGTCGTATAACGAACCTTCAAGGTACTAGAAAAATTTGTTCGCTGTATGGATGTTCGTTATATCGAGGTTCTACTGTACCCATATAGGTGAAGTTGTCAACTGCCTATAGGTTTTGTGTGTGGTTCCTAGTAAAGCTTTCCAGGTGCTAGCTGATACATGACTTCAGTCTTTGTGGTGCTGATGGTAAGGCCGAAGTTGCCACAGCCTTGAGAAGAGCAGTCCAATTCATTCTGCATCATCTGCTCTGTGTTGGCGCTAAGGGTACAGTCTTCAGCAAACAAGAAGGCCCTGATGACGGTCTCCTTTGCCTTTGTAACAGTCTTCAGGTGCCTAAGGTATTCTATCCTTACAATTAGGGAAGGATCCTGGAAGGCTGTCGGAGAGACAACGCAGCCTTGATTGACGCCGTTGGTAACTGGTAAGGCTTCTGACTCGTCCCCATCATCCAGACCTTTAACCATCCCGCTTTCGGATGATCGTTACGAGCCTGATTGGACAGCCAAACTTCTTCATTATCTTCCACAAGCCGTCTATGCTCACCGTATCGAAGGCCTTGGTCAGGTCAACTACGGTCATGTAGAGGACGCAATGCTGCTTACCGCATTTTTCCTGGAACTGGCGTGCAGCAAATATCATGTTGGCAATTCCTCCATCTGAGCGGAAACCACACTGGGTGTCTGGGAAGTAGCCTGTGAACAGGCTCTCTGTTTGGAGAAAAAAATGGCGAGGAAAGGGAAGGGACCAAGTTCCCCTCTCGACAAAAGGCCTATTCACAGGCTATCCGGGAGGTAATCTGCAGTGCTGAGATCCTCATTTTGTGCCCCCAAGGGAATTAACAAATTTCCGGTACATGTCAAATCCTGGTACATGTGGGGGCCTAGCCTCCCACGCAGGCGTTTTAGGGGAGCTCGTTCTTCATTCCTGGGGCCTGGAACAAGAATTTTGGCGCCGTTTCGCAGACGTCAGTAGAGAGTTTTAGATCGGCGTTTACCGCGAACCTCTAACCGCGGTTTGCGGTTACCCGTTTGCGGTTCGACGTTCAAACATAATTCGATTTAGAT